AGATATCTCAGCGTGGCAGGATTTTAAATGATAATGTAAGGGGCTGGGGATTTAGCTCAGCGGCAAAAGCGCCTGCCTGGCAAGCGCAAGGTCGTGAGTTCGGTTCCCGGTACCGGAGAAAAACCAAAAAAAAAAAAAAAGATAATGTAGAAGCTGGGTGTGGTGGCGCACGCCTGTAATCCCAGCACTTGGGAGGCTGAGGCAGGAGGATCATTGCGAGTTCAAGACCAGCCTCGGCTACAAGTGAGTTCAAGGCCAGCCTGAACTGCATAGCCAGACCCTGTCTCAAAAAGATTAAAAAAAAAAAAAAAAGAGTAAATGATAATGTAGTCCTCAGACATGCCTGAAGGTGGTAGTAAAAATGGATGATAGAAGTAGCCACACATGGCTGGGGCTTATAGAAGGACTGCAGAGAGTTTGAGGCCAGTGTGAGCTACATAGGGAGACCCTGTCTCAAAAAGAAACAAACAAAAAAGCAAAGAAATGGGTAGCAGCAACAGAAATTGCCAGTGGATATTGTGTAGCCACCTCTGCTTGTGCCACTTCTTGTTTATTTAGTTTGGTTTCATAGCAGCACTCTTCTAAAAACAGGAGTCTAGTTCTTGATCCTGGAGAACATGAAGTACAAAAACACAGCCCTGAACTGCTGCCAGTTTCAAGCCACAGGTGTCCTGGTGAGCAGGGTGTGGGATTCCTGCAGCCAGCTGCTCAGTACTCTTTGCAGCAGCTCCGAGGGGCTCAGCAGGCTGAGTGGATCGCAGCAGAGGCAGTTTGTCTTGGAAAAAAGTCAGCTTGACAGCTTTTTGAGCATAAAAGTTACGTGCTCCTAGCTGGCCATTGTGGTGCACATGTGTCATCCCAGCACCTAGGAGGTTGATGTGGGAGCATCGCCACCAGTTCAAGATCCATCTGGGCTACATAGTGAGTTCAAGGCCAACCTGGAATACACCGTGAGACCCTGTCTAAAAAAAGTAACATGCTGCTCTAAAAATTGCAGTAAGTGTCAGATGTGATGGTGTACGCCTGTATAATCCCAGCACTTGCGAGGCTGAGGCAGGAGGATTACCATGAGTTTGAGGCCAGCGTGCCTACATAGTGAGTTGAAGACTGCCCTGAACTACATAGCAAGAGCCTATCTCTTAAAAGAGTTGCAGTAAGTTCATATGTCGTGAGGAATCAAAACCATTTGTAACTCTACTACCCAGACAAACTTGCTAGTATTTGTGTGTATCCCTTTCACTTCATTTATAACCATTTTTTTGTCTAAATCTTTAACTGCTTTGGAAATCTTGTTTTGAAAAATGAATTGTAGTAATCTTACATCTCACTAAAATTTTCTGGCTCTCACCATTTAGTGAGTTGTTCATTTTTTACCTGAATCTTATAATGTTATATTTGTTGAAATTATTCATTTCTAGCCAGCCATGATGGCACATACCTGTAATTCCAGCTACCCAGGAGACTGAGATAGGAAGACCTCAGGATTAAGGCCAGAATGAAAATGGGTAACTGTGGATGTAGCCAGTGATAGAGCACGCATGGATGAGGCCCTGGACTGAATCATCAGCACCAAAAAGAAAAATTATTAGGTTTCTAAAGTCTCTTGCACTTAACCTATTTAGCCTTCTTCTCACCCCACACTGTGTATACTGTGTTGTGTTATATTGTGTTTTGCTTTGGTTTGGTTTTTGTTTTTTGTTTTTTGTTTTTTTCGTAAAGGATCTCACTGTGCAGTGCAGGCTGTCCTTGAACTCATGGCAGTCCTCCTTCCTGCCTCAGCCTCCTGAGCACTGGGATTATAGGTATGCACCATTACACCCGGCTTGCTTTGTTTTTGAGACAGTTTCTCACTATATTGTCCCGGCTGACCTCAGACTTCTGGGCTTTAGTGATCCTCCTGTCTCAGCTCCCTCAGTAGCTGGGACTACCATCATGGTATGGTATATGTACACCATCATGTCCAACTTGCTACTATAACATATTTTCTAAGACAATAAGGGCAAATCCCTTGCCATTACTATCTTTGGCGGGGAAGAAAAAAGAAGGGGCTTACTATATATTTATTTTTATGAATACAGTTAAAGAGTTACTTCATTAAATTAAAAAACTTTAATTTACAGGTATGGTGGCACACCCCTGTAATCCCAACTTTCTGGAGGATGAAGTGGGAGGATTGCCAAAAGTTCGAGGCTAGCCTGGAATATATGATGAAACCCTGTCTCAAAAAAACAAAACAAAACAAAAAACCCAAAACACACACTTTGGTTTTTTTTTTCTTTCAGGAGTAGGGATTGAACTCAGCACCTCCCACATGCTAGGCAAGCACCCTGCCACCAAGCCTCACTCCCAGCCCCCACTCCCAACCCCACCCCTTTTCCAGGCTGGCTTGGAACTTCCTTTCTTCCTTTTTTTTTTTTTTTTTTGTTTGTGTTTTGAGACAAGATCTCATGCTCATTATGTAGTTCAGGCTGACCTCGAACTTAACTATGTAGCACAGGCTGGCCTAAACTATCTTCCTGCCTCAGCCTCCTAAATTCTGCGATTACAGGTGTACTGCCACACCCAACTTGGCTTTGAACTTTTTGATCTGTCTGTCTCAGCTTTCCATAATGCTAGGGTGACAGATGTCTGCCACTGTGCTCAGCTACTAGAATCTTTTTTAATGGGGAAAGTTCACATCATTACACTAAAGCTTCCTCCTTAAAAATGTCTCTTCCTTTATTCAGATTTTCTTCATCCCAGTAAAATCATCATTTCCATCATTTAATCCTTGTGAACCACTACAGTAGTGACTGCAGTAGAAATTGGGAAAATTTGTCAGAAAGTGAGTTAGCAGAAGTCAGGAAGATGTTGAAGTTCAACTCAGTAACCCCGTTCCTGAACTGCATCTGTGGGTTGGGTGGACAAAGCCCTTTGCCCAGCCTGAGGATGTGGCCTTTGGTTCTCTTTCTAACTGCTTCCCTTGGGACCAGGTAGATACCATCACCCCTGGTGCCAACAGTCTGTGTCCTGTGGTTGGCACATCACTGCTGGCCGTTGAGAGGCTGGCAGTATGCAGTGGGCCGCTGTGGGCTTCGTGGGGCCTGATGCCTACTGTGCTGGCCGCGACCCTCACAGGAGCCCATGGAGCCCTGTGGAGGATTTGCTCACTTGAGCGAGGGCCAGGTCAGATATTGGGGCTGCTGGTCTCCCGGGTCCTGGGTTGTCCGCTGCCAGGCACTGCCTAAAGTCCCCTTACCCCACACAGGTGTGGGGTGTCCCACAGACAGGTGAGTGTTGTTCACAGTGCACTGTCTGATAAAGGAGGTGCATGGGTACGGCTGTAGTGGGCGTTGGATGGCTCGGGCGGCCTCAGACAGTTTCTGGGGTCACTGGCTGGGGTGTTCAGCCCCGTTCGGGCCCATGTGGCACTTGGCAAGGAAGCAAGCGCGGGTGGGTCCTGCAGGAGCGCGGAGGTGGAGTCGCAGTCCTCCTCCTCTGGAACCTTGGCATGCATTATCAGGATCTCTCGACATTGACAGGCGATGCGGAGCGCCCCCCCGCCCCCCGCCCGCACTGGGCAGCGAGCTCATGCAGTTTTCCAGCATAGCTTGCAGAGCTGCTCACGTCTGTGCAGTCTGCCTGTCTTTGGCTCTGGACCTCTCCCTGGTGCCATGGTGGCCTCCGGTTTGCAGTGTGTGACAAAACTCAGGAAGAGACTAGACTCGGACATGGATTGGTCAGTGCAGTCCCTGGGAAGGAGGGGCCAGTGAGGCTCTGCATGTAATGGGGGGCTTGAGAAACAGCTTCTGCCTCACTGCTGATTAAAGAGACCCCAGGTAGGACTGAAGATGACTGAGGAAACAGCTTTTGGGATTCCAGCCGTCTGCTGCTGCCCCTAATTGATAAGAGCTGTCTGAACAGAGGTGGGCGGCTGAGGTACAGCGTCTTGCTAAGCCAACCATGGGCACCCAGCCTTGGGTATTGCGACAGCGTCACCTTCAGGGTAGCTCATGAGGCCTGGCTGTCCTCTGTAGCCAGAGATGGAGTCAGGAGCTGTGGAGGTCAGTTCAGGCACAAGTTCAGGTCCTTACCTGACCCTGCCCTGTGGGACAACAGGGGCTCTAACATGTCTGGTCAGTCCGTGGTCTTCAGGGCAATGCCACTTGCTGGGAAACGGCAGGTGACAGCCACGTGTCTGGAAAGAGGGTGAGGCCCAGATTTTGACGCTGTGATCTCTGCTTCTGTCCTTGTCTGCTGGGCTAGGTTGTTTTTATTCATCTCTGCTTGAGGCACATTTTAAAATGCTGGCCTCCAGTACTTAAAAACTGCTTACCAGACCTTAGTCAGCTAATGTGTAGTTTTTCTGAAGGTCACTGAGGCAGGCTATGGCGATGGAGACACAGTGAGGGGAGGCCACTTTCCTGGTGAGTCTGTAGACTGGTATGGCCAGTGCTGGAAGAGGGCAGCACTGTGGTCAGCAGGAAGGGTGCCGGCTTCTGCAGAGAGGGGTCTGTCCAGCTGCAGCTTTGAGCCTTGTTTGTCCACAGACCCTCACTGAAGGAGTCTTTCTTGGCGAGGCGCGCGCCACAGGGAGCAGCCCTGACGTCGAGAAGACAGACAGGTGCAGTGTGCGGATGGCGCACGTGCCGAGCGCCTTGGCGAGTGATGCGGCCTAGCAGGATGAGGGACAGGGAGAGGCCACGTTTCAGACAGAACAGTTGCCTTTGCCACATAGTGCTTCACAGGGCCTCAGTAAAGCAGCAAGTGAGCTGCTGGGGAAGCTTGGAGATTGACCCTAATGCTGAGCCCACCAGCTGATCGAGTGGGAGAACACAGCCTTCCTCCCTGCCCATCCCCACCCTGCCCCCTCCTTGTCCTTGGCGTGCTGTTTTGCCAAGCTCTCGGGTCCCACGTTCTGGCAAGGGACCCTTTATCAGAAGGTCCTGTGGGGGTTTGCCTGGGCTCCTTTGCTCCTGGTGGTCATCTTGGGCTCACCGTGCTTCCCTTTCTTCCCACAGTGTGAAGGATGACCTCAAGGAAGAAAGTGTTGCTGAAGGTCATCATCCTGGGTGATTCGGGGTAAGTGTCCCCTGTATCTGAGCCATCACATTGGCTTGGAGCTGAGCCTTGCCCTGGGGGAGCCTCCTCCCTCCACCCCTGGGCTGGTGGACGTCACAGTGTCCTGCTCTGGGTGCTTCGTCTCTTGCTGTTAGGGCCCAGCAGAGAAATGAGAATGGTCTCGTACTCTGCAGCCTTCTTAGGCTACCTGGCTTTTATAGCATGATCAGTAGGGGGGAAGGTGGCTGCGTGCAGCTGATGCAGGCGTTTTTTTGGCCCCCTTTCCTCTGAGTTGGCTGGCCCCAGGAGGCTTGCTCATGCCAACACAGTGCCACAGCTGTGGAGGGGTTGCCTCTGGCTCTCCACCAGGTTTGGGTTCAGTGTGCCTCCTGTGGTGGTTCGGGCCTGCGGGGGAGGACTGGGCACAGTGGACTGGCTTCCGTGTCTAGATGTGCCACTAACTATTGAGTGGCTTGAAGAGTCCCTGGTGGGCTTTTCAGACTTGGTGTCTGACATGACTCAGGATGGTGCTACCTCACTGGAGGCGTGCATGTTTTTAAAAATGACAGTAATAAGCTGGGTATGGTATACACACCTATAGTCCTAGCTCCTCAGCCAAGGAGGCTGAGGTAGGACAATCACTTGCACCCAGGAATTCAGGACCAGCCTGGACAGTATAGCAAGACCCTATCTTCAAAATAATAAAAAATAGAGACAGTTATGCATGTGTGTCCCAAAATTCCTACCTTTCCTTAGAAAGGTACTGATTTTTCTTTCTTGGCTGGCTTATATGAACTGCTTGAGGACCCTTAGTAAGCCAGCATTTGCCCAGCTCCAGATCATTTGGATGGGCTTTCAGTGTCCAGTCTTGCTCTACTGTCAGGACTGACAGACTTTAGGCCTGCATTGCCAGATGGGCCTGAAAAGAATTAGCAGGCTTGCCTCGTTACAGTTTTCATTACAGTGCTCCTCCCTCTCCTCCCCTGGCAGCTCCAGTTGGTCTGGTTGAGGGTGTTGCTATGGGCGCCCTCCAGCTAGGAACCCCGGGAACAAAAATGACCTGCTCCTCTGGGGGACATGGGTGATGCTGTTGGCCAGGGGCTCCTGTGTAGTCCTTAGGCTGCCCTCTCCTCAGCCCAGAAAAGGCCGCATGCCATCTCTCGGTGAGTGTGGTACAGAGAATGCGCTTTGGAGCGGTGAGCCTTGTGGTAGACTGTCCTTGGCAACATCAGTGCCTGCTCCCGGGCAGCATGCTCCTCCCAGCCTTGGTGCGTGGAGCTGTATAACAGCCACCATGGGGAGAAACACCCCAGACTGCAGGGATATTTTTGGAATAGTGGAGCGATCTTGTTTCCGCCGCTTCTTTTAGAAGGAGTGATTTGCTGACCTCCCTCTGGAAGAGAAAAGAATGATACTAGGTTCTACCTCTGAGAACTCTGGACCAGAGCTTCTCAACATCTGACACACATCAAGACTCTATTTCCTTTGTCGTTTCCTTCGCCCAGTGCTAGGCCCCACCACTCGGGGGATGAGCTCCACCCCGCACTGTGTTCTCACCCAGGAGAAGGCACAGAGCGTGTGGGGTGCTGCTGGCATTTGCTGGCACTGCCCGACTGCTGAGGGCTGCTCCTCCTCCCCCTCCTCCTCCTCCTACTTCAGGACTGGCAGGTTCCTTGTAAAGTTGCGCATGTCAGGGGCCATTTCGGTCCTTTCCTGTTTGACTTAGATTTGTGGTTTTTCTCCACTTTCAGGGTCGGAAAGACATCTCTCATGAACCAGTATGTGAACAAGAAGTTCAGTAACCAGTACAAAGCCACAATAGGAGCAGACTTCCTGACTAAGGAGGTGATGGTGGATGACAGACTAGTCACCATGCAGGTAGGCCCGCCACCCACCAGCTCACCTTGCTCACTACGTCGGTATTTCCCTTCACTGCCCTCAGACCTCACTGTTCGTGGGGGGCTAGCTGTGGGCGGAGCTGTCAAACACATACCAGACACCTGGGTGAAATGTATTCCCGCCTTTTTTGTGGCACTCAGAATGGAGCCACGGGCTCCTGCACGCAGAGTTAGAATGGTGCTGCACCTGGGTGGGATTGTAACACGGTGGGAGAGCATGTTTCTGGTGTGCCTGAGGTTCTGGGTTCCATCCCCAGCACCCTTACAAAAAAAGGAATTATACCGCTGAGCCACACCTTAGCCCTGAACTGGGACTTCATATTGCATAAGACACTGAAATTGTGTGACGGTTTTTGTGAAATTCAGATTTAATTGGGCTTCCTTTTTTGTTGTTGTTGTTGTTGTTCTGGGCTTGGGGTTTAAGTTTACTAAATCTGGCATCTTACAGGTTCCTGCCTATGTTCCAAAATGTCCTGACTTTTTGTCCCTTTTTTGTGGCACTGGGGATTGGAGCCTGGGCCTTGCTGCACTGCTAAGTTGCCTACCCACCCACCCAGCGCTCGGAAGGCTTGGAAGGCAGGGCCACGAGTCTCTGGCCAAGGAGGTGGCAAGGCTTACGGTCCCTCAGGTTTGGGGCTCTGCCCCATCACGGAAGGCTTCATGGTCCCACTGTCTACAGTCCATGCTCTGCCAGGAGCAGAAGTCTGTCTGAGTGTTTAACATAGCAAAGACAACTCCGCAGGGACACCTGAAACTGGGGAAGGCGTGTACATAGCCACATGAGGAAATATGTGCCAGGAGAAATGTTCATAATGACACAGACTTCTTGGGGAATAGAAACCACAGCGGGAAAAGACACTGTAAAATGAGGATGTGGAAAACACAGATCTTCAAGAAGTGAGAAACGCCAGGCATGGTGATTTCACGCCTGTAGTCCCAGCACTTGGCGGGCTGAGACAGCAGGGTCACTGAATTCAAGGCCAGCCTGGGCTATATAGTGAATTCAGCTAGAACTACACAATGAGACCCTATTTCAAAAAAACAAAACGTAAAAAAGTGAAAAACGATTACTGAAATAAAGTAAATCAACAGTTAACCTCTAGATTACACATAGCCAAAGAAAACTGTAAACTCTCAGAGCCAAGCAAATTTCCTAGGAGAAAACGGAATAGTGGAAGAACGAAGGCAAAATCTCTAAGAGCCGCTAGAGAAAGAAAGGTCAGGTGGATCTAGGGGAAGCAGTTAGGCCACAGAGGGGGCAGGGTGTCGTCTGTCCTCAGCAGCAGAGCTTGGTCCTGTGTGTCATGGCCCTGCAGAGTTGGATGCTCTGGGTGGGCCACCTGCCCTGCCCTGCCTGGCTGCCCCGTGGAGCCCATGCTGAGGACTGAGGGCCTCAAAGATGCTGAAGCTAAGTTAAGACTGGGAAGGGGCTGGGGATTTAGCTGAGCAGCACAGCGCCTGCCTGGCAAGTGTGAGGTCGTGAGTTCGATTCCCAAAGAAAAAGACTGGGAGCCAGAAGCTAATCAAAGCTATCATGTCTGGGTGAGATGGTACCTTAGGACTTTTTTTTTTCTTTCTGGTACCAGGAATCGAACTCATGACCTTGTGCTTGCTGGGCAGGTGCTGTGCTGCTGAGCTAAATCCCCAGGTTGGCCTTGAATTCATGATCCTGTCCAGCCCATGTCCATGGCCATACCCATACCCATACCCATGCCCATACCTGTCTATCATCCTAGATCTCAAGGGATGCCCATGTGCTTTATAAAGGCCTTTTAGCAGCTCTGCAGTAAAAGAAAATTAAAGAAAGAAAATAGGTTTTATGAGGAATACCAGTGGATCCTCCCTGGTAATTGAGTGGTTTTCATTTAAAGAAATAACCAAGATCCAGTTTCTGTTACCCAGGATAGTAGAGTGCGATACAGAACAACGCCTTTTGTTATAATTGTGTTCTTCATGTAACGGTTTGTAGCTCAGGGCAGGATGCACGTGCAGCCTGTAACGCACATTCAGGGTGCTGAGGCAGCAGGGTCCTGGGTTTGGGACAGTCCTGGGCTACGTAATGACTTCAGGGCCCTGTCTCCAGAAACAAACAAAAGTATACTTTCCCAAGTTGGGGTGTGTCTCACCGGCAGAGCACTTACCCAGCCTGTGTGAGGCCCTAGATTTCGCAAAATAAAAAAAAAAAAACTTAAAAATTATTTTTAAAAGCTGGATGCAAAATAAAAAAAAAGAAAAGAAAAAAGCTGGATGCAGTGGTGCAATCCCAGATCCTGACTGAAAAATCAAAAGGGCCAGGGATATAACTCAGTGTGAAGGGCCTGGGTTCAGTCCCTAGGACTGCAAAAATAAAAATAAAAGGAAGGAAAGTAGATGTATAACTTCCAAACTACTGTAGTTGGCCCTTGGTGTCCACAGGGGTTGGTTCCAGGTGATCCCTATACCTTCCCCCAAAAGTACTCTGGTCCCTTAAAATGTAGACACGTCCTCCTATGTGTCTGTTACCTGTGGATGACTCACAGCACCTGAGCATGTGTAAATAGTGATCATCCGGGGCTGGGGATTTAGCTCAGCGGCAAAAGCGCCTGCCTGGCAAGCGCAAGGTCGTGAGTTCGGTTCCCGGTACCGGAGAAAAACCAAAAAAAAATAGTGATCATCCTACATTGTTTCATATACTGTAAAATGAGTAACAACAAGGTAGTGACGGTGTGTGTGTGTGACTGTGTCACGATCTGCTGTTGGTTGATTGCAGACCCTTCTTTCTTAGTACTAGGGATTGAGCCCAAGGCCTTTGCCATGAGCTACATCTCCGTCCTTCTGTGTAGAGATAGGGCATTGCTAAATAGCACAAGTGGGACTCAAATTTGTTGTACTCCTGCCTCAGCCTCCCAGAATGGTGGGATAGCAGGCTTGTGCCACTGCACCTGACTAAAAATAGAAACTTTTAAACCTTTGACATTTCCTTGAGCAGGGACCAGAGAGCACTGGGGTTGAACTGAGGTGAGAGCCTCACCCATGCTAGGCCAGTGGACCTTTGGCATTTAGAAAAGAGAAAACACAGATCATAAAAGGTTGAAGACCTTACACATCTGAAAAACAAGACTCCCAAAGAATGCAGACAAACCACAGAGCAAGTGCGCTGACACCAGAGACAGGCACCCTCCAGGGCAGTGGGCGAGGATGTGCTCTGGTGGCCAGTGGCTGGGTCTCCAGGAGACACCACTCAGAAGGCTTGTACGAAAGCCAGTGTGCAGGCTGGGGAGAGCATCCAGGAGTGGAGTGGCAGTCTCCTGGCTCCAAGTCCTAGCTGTGGCCAGAAGGAGCCCTCTGAGCAGGGGAGGGAGGCCAGAAGGGTGCTCCTAGGTGCCAGCTGAGGCAGTGAGGAGCGGTGGTCCACTGAGGCCTGGGAGATCACAGTAGGTGCCGGGGCTGCACACCCTGCCTGGAGCTGCCCACGCTGAGTGAGCACGCGCGCGTGGCTGCTGTGCGGAGACGCAGAGTAGAGCTGCTTGTCAGCCGTCTTCCGGGGCCGGCAGCTTTTAGGGGGCAGTGAGGGGAGAGTGACCCAGAACCCTTGTTTCTCTCTTTACAAAATGATGATTGCCATGGCATTGGCACAGCTGGCACCTTGGGGTGGGGAGCGCATTGCAGCAGTAGGGCGGTGCTTAGGCCAGGCCATGCCCATTGCCACACATAGAAGGTTGGTTTTGTCACATCAAAGTGGCGAATGTGTGGTATAATTTTGAATGCACAGAATGAAATATTCCTATTAAAATATATAAAATGTGCCAGGCATAGTGGCACATGCCTGTAGTAACCCCAGGACTTGGGAGGCTGAGGCAAGAGGATCACCATGAGTTTGAGGCCAGCCTGAACTGCATAGTGAGATCCTGTCTCCAAAAAATGTAAAAGACCAGTCAAACAAAAGGCTGCACTTTGATAAATTTGAAGTCAAATTAACTTTGGAAATTGCTGAGAACAGTCCCTCATGTTTTAGTTTCTTTCTTAGCTGTTCCTGGCCTTCTCTGTATCTGAATTCTAGATCACCACAGGTTCCTCCTGGGAGGACAAGAGTTCTCAGCAACGCCAGTCTCACGGTTCTGCCCAGAGGAAACCATATGGGGACAACAGGGGCCTGTAATCCCAGCCACAGGGGAGGCTAAGGTGGAGTTGCGAGTTTGAGATCACCCTGTTCCCACATGGAAAGGGCTGGAGCGCTAGTAGAGCTCTGAGATCTGGTTCCCAGGATTGCTGGCCAAAGCTGCTTTCCGTAGAAGAGCAGAGCTGTGTGAGTCTCATGTGGAGCTGTTCATAAGCGTGGACAGTGGGCTGCAGCGTTAGTTAAAAGTGGGAGTGAGCAGCTCACTGAGTTTGCTGGGCAGCAGTGAGGCTGGGCTCTGTCTCAGGAAAGTGGCGCAGTGCCCTGCAGCACAGAGGGCTGTGCAGAGAGTAGGCACAAAGGCTACCGTGTGGCTCAGAGCTGCTGAGGCTTGAGGATGGGACTGGGGTTCTGTGTGGCTTTGGGTTTGGTTTTTGCTTAGTTATTTCCCACTTTTGCCTGACACTATTACTTCCTTAATGAAGTGTGTGTATATGTGTGTGTTCAATTTGTCTCTGGCTTTAAGTTTCATTCTTAAAGCTTTTGAGCCAGGCTTGGTGGCACACACTTGTAATCCTGGCTTTTTGGGAGGCTGAGGCAGGACAGTTGCAAATGCCAGCACAGCCTGGGCAAATTAGAGACTTAGCAAGGCCCTGCCTCAAAATAAAAAATAGAAAGGAACTGGGTTTGTCGCTCATTATGCAGGCCCTGGGTTCAGCACCCAGTACTGCAGAAGTCAAACTGTTTTCCTTCCCCCTCTCTCTCTGTGTGGTGCTTTTGTGGACTGAACCCACGGCCTTCATACTGAGCCACACTAAGTTGCCCAGGCCGGGCTTGAACTCACAACCCTGCTGCTTCAGCTGCGCAGGGTGCTGGAGTTACAGGTGTGAGTCTGCGCTCTCAGCGTCAGCCTTGCTCTTGAATGTCGCTGAAGGAGGTCAGCCTGCAGGGGATCAGTGGGGCCTGGTATTCATCTGTGCTGTCTGCCCTGCAGTTCTTTCTGTCCGTCTCTCCCTGTCAGGGCATTTGGTTGGTTTTTTAAGTTCATTTTGTTCTGCAGTACTGGACACCAAACCCAGGGCCCTCCATGTGCTAGACAAGCACCCTAGGGATGAGCTGCACCCCCACTCCTTTTGATTTTCGATTTTGAGGGAGAGTCTGGCTAAGTTGCCTACGCTGGCCTACATCCCGCAGTGCTCCTGCCTTAGTCTCACTTGGCTGAGATGATGGACATGTGCCCCTGAGCCCAGAGAGTATCTCCACACAGCCCTGCATGGCACACACCCACAATCCCAGCTACTCGGGAGGCTGAGGGAGGAGGAGGATCGCAGCTTGAAGGCCAGCCTGGGAAATGTTTAGAAAGGCCTGGGGATGTAGCTCAGAGGTAGCACACTCACCCAATACATGCCCTGCCGTGGTTTTCATTGTCAACACTGAAAAAACAGGAAAACTTTCCTAGCAGCCCAGAGACGACTGCCTGCCAGACTCAGTCTAGTGCAGGACTGCTCTGGACGCTGCTCTGGAGTCCCAGTCTGCAGGTGGCCCCAAGAGCGGCTGTCCTTCCCTCACAGATCTGGGACACGGCGGGTCAGGAAAGGTTCCAGTCCCTCGGCGTGGCCTTCTACCGCGGAGCAGACTGCTGTGTGCTGGTGTTCGACGTGACGGCCCC